GGCACCCGATACAGAGGCCTGCTGGGAGCCGACTCTGGATATCGTCCTGATTTTTGAGTGCCACGTCTCCTCCCCTCCCTCACCCTGCTGCCTGTGACGGGGAAGCTGAGGGAAGAAAAGCAAACGCAGCACTGCCTACCAAAAGATTATTTTTTTTCTTTTGAAGACTCATCTTGATGTTTCCCCAGAGGTTCAGGCAGGTAAGCCTTGGCCCAGAGCATCTTTCAGCCATGATTCTACACGCTACACATCCGAGTGTTAAATATGGTATTAAGTTCCTTTTTAAAATGATCCCGGACAGCGGCCAGAAGCAGCGTTCTCCGACAGAGCATCGGGGTGACCAGTGCTCCTCTGCTGCCGGCCCACCCAGGCCACAGCAGAGAGGTGACCTCGCCTACGAGGTGCAAAAAAGCAAGCCCTGGCAGATGCGGGGTGCTGGCTGGCAGGTAGGCAGGGACCTCCCGCCACACCGAAAGGCTCGTCTCTCCCTTTCTCTTTGAGGGGCAGAGCAGTGCAAAAGGAGCCGACTTTCACACAGCAGGGTTCTTTGCTACACCCTTCCGGGGCACCCACCTGAAGGACAAGAGGTCGGGGTGCTGCATCCAGGAGAGAGGAACCTACAGCTCCCGGAGGGCCCAGGACTTCCTCCCCACCTGAAAGCTGCCCTGGACGTCAGCGCAAGGCAAAGAGCGGATCTAGGCCTGCTGTGGGGAAGCACACGGAGTCCTTCCCCTCACTACCGGACACGGGGACTCCCCGGGAAGTTACAGAAAGACGAGATTGACACCATCAGCCAAACTTTAAATGGTTGAGTAAAAGCAATTAGGTAAAACCCCTACTGCAGACAGACAAACCAAGCAGCACTGGGTGGGTTCCTCCTCCGCCTCTCGTGTGGGTACCATGCCTTTGGGAGGGGGGGGCAGGGGGGGGGCGAGATTCAAACGTTCAGCACCTTCCTACAGGATTGAAGTCCAAGCGTTAGAAGTCACTGAGGATGCTGATGTCTGCAAACTCATTCCTGTACCGGTAAGCGTACAAACTGAGCAGGAAGGCCCATTTCAAGGAGATGAAACTCCAGACGCACGACAGGTAGTAGCTTCTGGGATCCGTCAGGGCTAGGAGAGAAAAGGACACAGAGCCATTTCAAAATCCCATTCGTCCCTGGTGCAGCCTGGCCAGGAAGAACCCAGCTCAGCCCCCCAGCTCCTGGGAGCTTTTCAGTCTAAAGATCTTGCTCTGCGAGCAAGGCCTAAGCAGTGCCTTATTCCCAGCTCGCTTGACTCAGGTTGTAAACCCTCCTCATCTCTGCCACAGGGGGGTATCCTGGTCGCAGTCTGGAGAAGGTCATCATCCTCTCCAGAGGCAGATCCTACCGGCTGTAAGGTCACCCACTCAGCCACCCCAAACCCTCCTCGCTTGGGGCCTGAAGGATGGAGCTTGTGTGAACTCCTGGATGGCAGGATTCCACGTGGCTCAAGAAAACCACCTCAACCTGCGGCTCTTCGTTTCTCTCACCCTGCCTCACTACTCCCTTCTCCGCCACCACGGCAGGGAGAGAGGAAACCTGCACATTTCGGGGGGGAACACAGAGGAAACAGAACACATCCTCCTTCTAAAAACACTTTCACCAACCCCCACGACCAACACTCGATGTCCAGTACTGGTGCACCTCAACCCGCACTGCAGGTCTGCAACGCGGCGCCGTGACGCTCACGCATTCGCGCACGACACCAACAGCCTCTTTTTAGAGCACCTCTGCAAACCAACACGTTTCTGCCTTGTCCATCACAAAACTGCCTCTACTTAGGGATTACTTGGAAGTCAAGTGGGCATGGTTCTGCTTTTTGAGCGCGTGTCAGCACTCTTCATATTTATTTGCAATGTTTAGGGTTTTTTTGTTCTAGAGATGTCGACAATTTTGAAATACACTTACATGACCTAATGCACAAACCAACTCCACCTCTAAGGAAAGCTGCTTGGTCATTATTAAAAAAAAATAGATCTTTTTTTTTTTTTGAAGAATCCACAAACCAATACTTATCCAGTAAACCCCACTCATTAAATGTCCCAGTCCTACGCTTTCCATACATAAGTAACTTGTGCAGAGGTTCTACTTTCCCCCAAGATCAGGGCTTTCCCTAAAATACCTCCATTTCCCTAAAAATCCCCAAGTTTTCCCAAAACCAGGTTTTCCCTATGTCTCCAGGAAAGACGGTGACAAAAAAATATTTGGTTTTCTTTCACATTTGTATTTCTAACGATTGCGTACGAGTATTTTCATGCCCTTCCACCAGGCTGAAGCACTCCAGTCTCCACGGGGGATGTACTCAGGCCAAGCCAAGGGCTTTCGGTGGGTTATGACCCCAGCACAGCTTGCCCACCACCACCAGTACACCACCACCAGGACTCTCAGCGGCTATCCGCCCAAATGCGGCAAGCAACAAACACGGACAACTTCCAAAAAAAACAAACCCCAAACTTTCTCCCTTTGGTCTATCGCCAAGCAAACGCTGGGAGTAATTACGGGAACCCTCCTTCGACAATGTTAAATATTTGATAGCCACGCAGCTTCGCCTGCTGACCGAGTGCAGAGGGCGTTTTCCCCCTGCTGACTCGTGTTTGGATTTCAACATCCTCACGCACCTGCTTTCTGAGTGCTGAAGAGCCGGCGCTTCAGAGCACTCCCTCTGTTTGCCAGAGAAATGACTCCATTCCAGTCCCTCTAGGAAACCACGCTGGGAAAGGGGGGCTGCCCGCCAGCGGCCCTGCAGCCCAGGCCTATCGAGGCAGCTACGGAGCACCAGAGGATGCCCTAAGGGAGCGTCACTCCCCCCCCGGGGCAGCAGCATTACCCTTGTGTCACCAGGAGACCACAGCAGAAAACCGAAACGCAACGGCGTTCCTGCAGCCCCTTCCCCAAACGTCTCTCGGCAGGAGCACCCCCAGAGTCACACCCCAGCTCTGCTGCCCCTTCACCTCCCACCCCAGCAATCCCAGCACGGCTAGTCATCTCTCCCAGTTGCCTACCGCCACAAAGTACTTACACTGGTGCTGGGTGATGGCCAGAACGAGGAACGTGCAGAATCCCACCACTGAGAGAGTTGAGAAGAGGATCCCGATGAAGAGGAAGAACCTCAGCCCTTTTAACCAGGTCCTCCAGTAATCCTGCACATACATCACATGCGTGATTAGGGCCCAGAGCGCCAGAACACCTGCTCGATCAGACAGCAAGGGCAGTCAGTACCACGCAGCACCCGGCA